GGGCGCCCCGGGCGCCCCCCCGCCCGGCCTCCTCCCCCTGCCGAGAGCGAGAGGCGGGAAGCGGGGCTGGGAGCGGTGCCGGGCTTGCTGGCCGCTCCCCTCCGGAGGATTTGCTCCGTGCTCATGCGGAATCGTGCCCTGAAGCAGCGCATCCCGTGTAGCAAATGATGTGAGAGAGTGACGGCGTGAATGTGTAACGACGTGCCCGAAACCTGGGGCCGAATGGTCCGTAAGGCTGAGGGCGTGCGAGTGAAACTTGGGGTTTTTTCCCTGGGAGCAGCGCTGAGCTGTGCGTGTGCTCCGGCAGACCGTGTGAAGCCGCACGTTTGCCGGTGCCCCCGGCAGCTCGCTCCACAGAGACGTTATTTGGGTAATCTAGAGGTAATTTAGGAGCCCCAGTTCCCCAGGTTAGACTTTTAAATCTGTGTGTGGCGTCCGTGTGAAAGTGGCCTGGTTTTCAAGGTGCACCTGCAGCTCCCAGTGACTCCCGGTAGCTCAGGATGTGATGTGTGGCTTCCAAAGCCGAACTTTGGACTTAAAGTATGTATTTCACGTCCGCACTCTGTCAGAATGTGTGCTCAGCCTCCTCCCGTTCGTTCTTTCCTGAGATGTGCAGTATGCAAATGTAACTTACTGCCACTGTTTCTCCTGGAAATTCATTCTGAAATACCTCTTCCTTTTTTCTTTTTTTTTTTTCCATCCTAGGTGGACTTTTCATGAGGAACACTGTTCAGGAGCACAGTGCATTTCGATTTGCTGTGCAGTTATACAACACAAACCAAAATACCACAGAAAAGCCCTTCCATTTGAATTATCATGTAGATCACTTGGACTCTTCAAACAGTTTTTCAGTGACAAATGCTTGTAAGTAAATACATCTTTTTTTAAAAAAAAAAAAAAAAGTTTATTTGCTGTTACATTCAGTTTCTCCCTGGTAGCCTGGAGTTCTTGTTCATACAATATAGTGCAACAAATGTGTGTGCTGACGTGAGGTCTAGTTCATTTGCAGCATTATCTGGTTGAATAATACCTTAGGGAAAGTTCTCTCACCACTTCTTTTCACCCCTTTAGTTTTGTTTTCCAGAAAAACAACCATGTTATTTATATAGTAGTGCTGTGTAGTTGTTATCAGTGAATTGCTGCTACAGTAACATCCCTTTGCTATTGAGGCTACAACCTAACCATGTGAAACAGTATAATTTGCAAATAATACTATGTAGGAATAAAACAGAAACAGCTGTTTACTAGTGACCTTGAAGGGACAAAGCTAGAGGGGCTTAGTTCTCTCCTCTGCCCTGTAATACTGGGTTGTTTTCTTACAGTGAAAGTCCTGTTAAAAGCTGAGGAGACTGCAAACTGACAAATACCATTAGGACTGAGGGGACAGAAAATGGAATCAGGACTCTTAGTGTTATGAGAAATAGCTGTGCACAACCAGCACATAAATATGATTTGAGCCTTTATTAACAGAAGAAGCAAAATAGACTTTTGAGTAGTGCTAATGGGTCTTAAAATGCAAGATCTCTTTCTGAAAGACTGGTGCGTGTTCTGCATTTTAAAAAGCATTGCTTTACCAGTAGTAGTTCCTGAATATTTTTTTTACCACTGTGTCCAAATTCAGTTTTATTCAGTTTTTATTTGAAACCTTTGAAAGTTAATGGATTCTTCTTACAAGGTAGTTGCATGCATTTTGCACTCTACAGAAGTAACATCTGTAGATGATCTAAAGGACCTCTGAATGCAAAGTATTAACTTTGTATTATGAACGAGGTTCCTGTTGTACTCATGGTATAAAATGTTGAAGGAGGAATAATTGGGCTAGGATAATGGAGTACAGACAATTAGTATATCTCATTTTAAAATAACTTCATGTTTTGAATATATTCAGTTTTTTGTTTGTTTAGGATAGGTATAATCCTGTCCCATGCTGTACAGTTGGAAGGCTGGACAAGTAGATATTTTATTCTTGTAATATTTCAGGTATTTTCCAAGAAAGCTGATGGTTTGAAAATACACAATAAGGAAATATTTGGGTAAATTTTGGATTGATATTCTAACATATCCCCCATGTGACTGCTTCTTGCTAGTGCAGCATTATACTTTTTAAAGGGCTTTGAATTAGGATGACTAAAACTTTTGCAAGGGGGTTAATGATAAAATATTCAATAAAAATATATGGTAAAGTGAAAAAAAAAAAAATGTAAAGCATCTCTATACTTTGCATCTTATTTTACTAATCCTGTCCAGCCCCAATGGCTCTTCCAACAAACATCAGACTATTAATCCTTAATCAGTGTAATCCCTTCAAGAGGCTGTATCTCAAACATAGTTTCCTAAATATCAATTATATGGATTTAAACTAAATACATTAAACTGCTTGAGTGATTAATTATTAATTGTTTTTTAAAAGTTCTACCAGCACTTCTTTACAGATCCAACCAAGACAAGCGAACCACATGCTCTTTCAGAGGCAGTCAATGTATTATTTAGTCAGTGTGCTTCTCACCTTCTGACATCTAATGATTTTTGTCATTGGTTAGTGAAAACTGTGGCTGTTTTAGAAAGATGAGATGGTTTTCTGTAGTATAGGGCTACATGTTCTAAGACACATATTACCAGTGCAGTAAAACTGGGAAAACTTAAATCTCTGGAGAAACTGTGGACCAGTGAATACCAACCTACAGTAACCTATTTAAAAATAGAAGGTGTGAAAAAAGAAACAGAAGAAAGAAAATGAAAAGGTGACCTTCTGTATGGCTGTGTCAACCATCTGGTGATACTGTTGGTAGGAGAAGAATACAGTGTGTCCAAGTCACCAGTCACATAGGTCTCAGTAGCTGAAAACAACAACAAAAAATAATGGAAGAACAGTTGCTCTTTTTGGATCTGGAAGCAATTATCTTTGGAAGTCAGAATGCTCATCCATATCAATGTGTTAGGATGATCTAATAGCTCCTCACACTACCCGTGTTTTACACTGACATGTAAAACATGCTGGCCTCAGTACCCTTAATCAGATCCTTACTTCCCAGTGGAGTGGCAGATAATTTCAAGGTGCTGCCGTATCCATGAAGGAGTTCTTTCCACAACATTTTTACTTCTCTTGGAGATAAGTATAAATTGTCTCCAGTGCTGTCACACAGCCGTTTGATCAATATTTGCAATTGGCAGGGATCCATAGGAGAGAAACCTGCAGTGACTGACTGGAGAGGGAGACTGTGACTGACTTTGTGGTGGGATAGGTGAAGGAACTGAAGGGAAATAGGAGGAAGTAGCATCTGAAGCTTGAGCCTAGTGCCTGTACTAGTCAGTATCTATAAAGTCATTATTAATTCCTTTGATTTATATGATAGTGGCTATAGTCTGTGTTCCTGTGTGCAGGAATTGGCGGGGGGGGGGGGATCTGGTCTGTAAACACACTTTTTTTA